TCACACCAGGCTGATGCATACCGACAGGGTTCACCGCGCTGTCAATGCTCCTGGCGCCAGTCTGCAACGTCTCGCGACTCCGCCTCGGCTGCACTTCCCTCCCCTCCCGCACTCACCCACTCGTGCTCAATGCATCCAACCCGTCGTCTGACTGCCAGCCGTGTCCAGCCGCCCTCATCGCCCAACTCGTCTCTATTTCCTCCCCTTGACGGAACTCGTGACACAGCTTAATGTCTTGTGTGGGCTCCCGAACACTGTTTACAACCGCGTCACATATCCAAGTTTCATAGACATCCATCGTCCCTTGCAAAGGCAAAGGCATGCGGTAAAAAGAATGGATGAAGCCCACGTGCGCGTCACGTCGTTTTCTATTCTCGTTACACATCATGTTCAACCAAGACGCTTTGGTCCCATCCTCGGCCTACCCAGCTTGCTTGCCGCCCTCATGTCCAACGCCCTCTGTGCAATCGCGTCTGTGACTGGCCATTTTGGTTCTGGGTCTGGCCCGTTCAGTATCGGGTTGTACCTGTAGATAGACTTAGTGTGTGCTTCCCATGCATTCCCTCTACAGAGCTTGCTTACGTGGAGTTGTCTGGCAGGACCTTGAATTGAATCGTCGAGTTGCCCTCCCGGAACGTGCTGGTCGGCGTGCCTACAGTTTTGTAGCTCGCATCAATCGTCCCCTTTCCGGTCGCAATGTCAACCTTCTTTAGCGCACGCTCGAAAATCTCCAGCGCCGCAAGAGGCTGATAGAATGGCACTTCGTGGCCCGACTCAAAGATGCGCAGGAAGGAGAAGAGGCCGGACTGCTTAACTTGACCGTGTACAATGTTGTCGCTCGTGGTGATGTTGGTGAAACCTGCATCACCATACCCCGTGGCATTTATCAGGTCCGCGACGACCTGGCCCCCCAACCAATTGCAGTTATAGTCCCTGGTTGTTGTTTAACATTGCGTTCTTCAACAGGAAAGCATTCAACTTACGCATCACCGTAGTATAGCATAACCTGTACACCCGCATCAAGGAGTTTCTGGCAAGCTTCAATCGTCCCGGACTCGCGGTCGTCATCACCAGTGTTTCCAAAGGCTGATGACACTGTCTTCGAGCTAGTGGAAAAGTTTTGGTAGGCTCCAATCGCCTTCTGTACGTCAGGAAGATTGAGGTAGTCGCTGAAATAGCCGTAATGGAAATGGGTCGGGGTCCAGCTCCCGCACGTCGTACTCATCTCGTCCGCTGTAGATATCGTACATGTTCTCGACTTTATTGGCGCAAAAGCCGTCGGCTCGAGCGCAGATGGAGTTCTGGCCTGTCTCGTAACACTCCTTCGTCATATCGACGCAGTTGCCTTCGCCGAAAAGGTTGTTGTACCACTCGGCTTGCACTGAAGCATTGAAAGGCATGTAATCATATGTATTACCGGGGTACACGGAAAAGTTGTAGTACGCGATGTACTGAGATAAGGGGTCGAACCAACCATTCCCGATCAAGACGCTCTGTAGGTCTATATTGACTGCGCCGGAGATGTTCTTGGCGTTTTGTTCCAGAAAGTACTCGTTGAAAATGGGACCGTAGTGGCCTCCATAGCTCTCTGTAGTAAACGTGAACCCGTTGCGCGAGTAATCAGGGAAGGCCCCCATGAAGCCCTGAAGCGTACGCCACATGTTTGGAGCGGCACCCAACGTATTGTTGGCTGTCAGGGCATGGTCTGGTTTCGAGTATGTGCCGCATGTGCCATACTGCTTCGCATAATCTGGACAAGTATTATTAGGCAACTGAATTGTGAATCCGCTCTTGTCCTTGTACGCAGGAATTGGAACCGAATAAGACAAGCCAACTGTTGTAGGCTGGTCAATGAAGAGCATATTGCTCACGTTCGACCACGAGTAGGGATTATTGAAGGGCTTTAGGTCTGGCCCAATGCCACAAGGACCCAATTCTTGAAATAGACCGATCATAGAGCTAGATCCCGGGCCGCCATTGATCCAAACAGTCAAGGGAGCATCCTTGGGGTCGCCGTTGCGTGTCTCAAAGAACCACCAGAAAATGTGCTGGTCGTCAGCAACATCTGCGTAGCCCGAATAGCTCTTGACATTAGGATCCAATTCGCAGATGCCGGCAGGGACCTCCTTGTATCGCACATTCACGCCTGCATATCCCGTCTTGGTCGTTAAATTGGCTGGCGGCGGCACGAACTGCGCTGTTGCGCGAGCAAGTAGCGACAGTGTAGAGAATTTTGACAGGTGCTTCATCTTGTCCCGAGTGCGATACCCTGACTATTTGCATTTTAGTGTTGGCCATCCTGTATCACAGTCAAGGCGACGAGGCATACCTAGTCGAATTGGAGAAGCGCCAAGTTGACGACAACAAAAGCTTGAGCAAGTGTGCGATAGTGTATAGTGACAAGGCGGGCAACTCTGCATTTGTACCTCACGCAGGCCAACTCAGCCCGCGCAATCTACGAGGCCAAGCGGCGATAACTAGACTATTCACCTTCCAATAGAGGCTAAAGAGCTGCGTGCACGAGGCACATTCGTTCATGCCCATGACGCCATGAGGCCGTACCCGAGCCGGTGCGATGGCTCTTGGTGCTTCGAAGTAGCCATCTTCCACCCGAAAGCCGCAGGCGAATATAGAGATGAGCCGGGCATGGGCACGACCGGATCAGAGCTGATGAGATACAGTACACGAATGAATAACTGGGCACCTCAATAGTGAGATTTGGGAGTACTCGCGTAGGCAAGCTTTGCCTGAAGCTTACAAGCTCGTGCAAGCTTTCGTAGCTTATCATGAGTGGGGATCTTCTCTGGGATCGTAAATGCCGGCGCGCCTTGATTGGAAGTAATAACATTGGTAAGTTTTCCCGTTGGTAACAGCTACACATGAAAGCCGCAGCATCTATGTAAGACGGGAAGCGATTGGCATCATCAACGGAGAGAAGTGAGAACTCGAGGCCTCGATTGAATCAGCCACAGCCATATCTGCCAAGGCAGTAGGTCACGCTTCGTTGCCCGCGCACACCACCTGGGCACCGCGCGGAATATTTCATGGCAACTGCCAGCTAGCATACGCGACGACTGGGACACATTTTTTTTGGTGATAGCAAGGCATAAAAGCCGAGGCATGTCGAAAACACACAACAAGGTGTGGACTGGTATATTACGTATTTCGTGGCGCTGTGCCTATCTTCATTCAGAGTCCATAGCTTCGTCAACATTCATAATCCTTTCTAAACCTCCAAACTCCAGGGCAAACTACTTCATCCTTCTAAGAACTTATAGCACGGTCCCAAAACCGAACGTGGTCTTTATGCTACGAACGTAGTACTGATCCCAGTTGGTCTTGGTAGACTCTTCCTGTCCAACAGGAACGCCCTTCCACTCAACTCGCATCACTGTCACAGCATCAACGTCATTTTGATCGAACCAGATAGAGAGTGTGGAGTAGTGTCCCGCTGGCCACTGCGCTAATCGCCATTTCTGGACGATATGCGTAGGCTCCTCCAATTCTGTGAACTCTCCACTGACATTGCCTCCGAACAGCTCGAAAGTACCCCCAGGCTTAGCGCCGGTGAAGTTCTTGGGCGGTGAGCGAGTGAAGGCAGCGATGCGTTGGGGGTCAGTGAAGGTCTGGAACAGATTCGCAGCGTCGGTGCGGAACTCAGTGCTATCAGTGATTGTCGTCACGTTAACGACAGCACCAGAGCTTGACTTTTGTGATGCACCTTCCGCCTTGGAGCCTGAAGACTTGTTGACGCTCGAGCTCGAATAGACTTTCGGCGTAGAGAAGCTTGTGGATGGATTTGTGCCGGGAGCGTGCTGGATATCCTTTCCGTGTTCTGCCATTACCGCAGGGCCGAGCTTTGCAAGACTCTTGCGCAGCTGCGGGAGGATTTTGGAACGAACCAAGTCCTTCACGGGCTGTTTACTGCTCTCATCGGAGTACACATCTACCTCAAACTGGGCAAATGTCAGCACTCTGCGCGAAGGGGCTGAAGTAAATCAAGGGCTGTGAGCGAAGGGAACATACGACATACTCGTCTTCCTCTGTGTCGTGTGCGACCTCGGGAACCGTGATCGTGCCGCTGGCCTCCTCGCCCTCCTGGTTCTTACCTGCCGACACAGTCAGCGCGCCAGTCTGCAAGCTAAAGAGATGCTACGTACCAGAATACTCAAGCTTGAGTCGCACATCAAAGATGGTGATGACCTTGCCCTTGCGCTGGCTTACGTCCACGTCGCCATCCATGCTGACTACCTTGTCGATCTTCGCTGACACGCCATCATGCTCAGCCGAGATAGTGGAAAGCTCTTGCTCGAGGTAGCTCCTGGCCCAGGGTGCAACGTCCTTGTTGACCCAGTGCCAGTTGTTGGGGTTGTGTAGAACCATGGCTGTGGATGAAGAGAAAGGGTGGGCGTATGCTAGATTCCTGACATTTGCATATCAGCGTTGGCTCGTCCACAAGGTAAACAGGGATAGAGTGAGCGATGATTGATGTCAGAGTTCAGACAGGTTGTCTTGTAGCTAGTCCGCATGTAAAGAGTACAAGTCTTCTAAGACTGGTGCCAGCTGGTGTCTCATCCTTCGATCGGGAATAGTAAAAGAAAGCACACGCGCACTTACAGAGAAGAAGCTCAAGCTGCACTCAAGCTGGATGAAGCGTTATCATTGAGCTGTCGGACGAGCGACGATGGGAGTGCGCTGTTTGATTAAAATAGGTCCCAGAGAGCTTGCCGCAGATTTATTCGAGAAGCTTCGGCCACCCTGACTCTAGTCTGCCAAGTAACCGGGCCGACCTATCTCCGTTGTGGTCAGAGGGCTGATCAACATCACACTTAACACCATCTTTTCGACGAATCGTCAGGTGCGATCTTTCGTGACAATCAATGGGCGTTGTCCCGGTTCTGGATGTATCCGATCACGATGTTCAACCAGCAGCGATTTATGGCCTGCTTGCTGCTCCGTCCAAGGGTTCTAGCCTGCACGGCCCGGGAAGCCTTACAATTGCGCTCTTCGATTTTAAATCCGTCGCCTCCATTCGAGTAAATGTAGTTTCTCAACCTTATCTCATTCTCGGGACAAAGCGTACTACTTCGCGCCCTGGAACGGTTATGGGCATGAACCTCGGAGCTGTCTCCTCTACTTCAGGAGTCCCACCAGCTTCATAAAGGTGCACCTCCTATGCTTGTCAAATATCATCAATTATCTTTCACGAGCAATGCTTTGACATATTCATGTGTTGATAGATACTACTACGAGGTAGGGGTCTTGCTCAAAGCACAAGAAAATTAGAATGTGGTGTTCAAGAAGCTCATACAACGTCAACAAGAGCAACTTGAGCTACGTTTGCATACAAACGGGAATAAAGTTACCTGGCATAGCTTGCAAGTTAGTACGGGACAAGGCCGAGGCACGCATTGTATGCTTTCCAAAGAGCACAGGAAGCAACATTACTGAAAGTGCTACCAAGAAATCTTTCCGCCAGTATTCCTACAATCCTGACAGGTACCACAAGGCAAATCAACTAAACATAAACGGTCGCAGGGTAGCGTCGCTGATGGTTCCCAAACGGGCAACAACGTAACAGCTCTCTTGCTCCTTCCAGTTTGGGTCAACGTCGATCATCTCTTACCGACGGCATTCATGCGGATACACTAGCTCAGTTCGGCAGGTCAAAACCAGAATCCGGGGAACGACCACAATAGTCGATACCTCAAATTACAGTACATGCGCTGGGCCAGGCGATCGGTGCATGGAGACGTGAGATTCGTGTACAGTCGGGCCAAGACAGAACGATAGCCTCTAGGCGAAACCAATGTCGCTAAATCTGCATGCTTGGAGAATTCCCTAGAGTGTAGAAGGGTCTCGATATCGGCCGTGTATCGAATTCGGCAGGAGGTAGATCTTGACAGCTGGGTGTGTATCGATTAACCGTCAACATCCAAGTTGACGACGGACAAGATGGTATCTAAGAGAAATATAAATACACCATCATTCGCCTCTGTTCGACCTCCAGGCCGCAGGATCAACGCTCGTTCCATCTTCCTGTACTCGATTACTACAACCTTCGTTCCCTTCCTGAACCTCATCACCCAACATGAAGCTTACACTTTTTAACTGTCGCCCTGGTCTCAGGTGCTCTTGCTGTGCCGGCCCCGGTCTCCGACGCAGAAGCCTTCCCTATCGACGAGCTTCTCGTCAGTAAACTGACTCCCGAGGAGCACGCTATTTCCAAGCGCCAGTACAGCAGCAGCACATATAACCAGCTGACCGATGGTACTGCATGCCGCCCCATCAGCTTGATCTACGCTCGCGGAACCGGCCAGCAGGGCAATGTCGGTGATGCTGCGGCTGTTGGCCCTTTTGTTTTTCAACCAGATTGCGAGCAGGGTTGGAGGCACAAGCCAGCTTGCAATCCAAGGTGTCACTTACTCCGCAAGCGTTTCTGGTTTCTTGCAAGGAGGCGACCCAACGGGAAGCACGACTATGACCAACCTGATCGGCAGTGTGAGTCTTGCGGTATATGTAAACATTTGGAGATCTACGGTGGCTGACACACTTCACAGACTGCTTCTCGTTGCCCCAACACCAAGATCGTTCTGTCTGGTTACTCCCAGGGTGCTCAGCTCGTGCACAACGCTGCTGTCCGCACCTCCGCAGCAAACGCTGCTCGTGTAGCTGCCGGTATGTCGTATACCTTCCATATGTCTCCTTGATACACCATTCCTTGCCATTTTGAGGTATTCGACTTACTATTGCATGGTTCACATTACTTACTCAGTCCAGTTGTTGTCTTCGGCGACCCCAAGCGCGGACAGTCTTTCGGTTCTATTGCAACTTCTAAGACCCTCACCATCTGCCACACTGGTGACAACATCTGCGAGGGAGGTACTTCAATCACAGGCGCGCATCTGAACTATCAGAATGATGCAGGCACCGCTGGTGCGTTTGTTGCTGGAAAGGTTTAGTGTGAAGCGATGGATGAGCTGAAGTGGCCAGGGGGATCAGGTGGTATCAGTGTCGCGGGAATGGTTTCTATTCTTGTAATCTTTTTATTCGAGAGTGAAGCTTTACGATTATATCATTCATCCACTCGGACTCTATGATTGTTGTTGTTATATGGCCGACAGGTGCTCGCGGACGCTTGATCTTCAATGTCAAAAATAACTTCATAAGTTCTTCACCACATGATCCCTTCACATTCGACCATAGGACGATGAGAACAACGCATCCCGTTTGCTCTGCATCATTTAAGCATCGTACCGGAGGGTTAGTAGTTAAGTGGGTGACCATTAGCGAATCTCCTCTGTTGAATGTTTTTGGGTACATTTTTGCCCTTTTCTTTACCAGGAACATAGTACTTGATCGGCGAAGAAGAAAAGCTACATATGTATAGATTACGTGCGGTCTGACACATGACTGCTGTAGTTCAACCTAGGATCCTTGTGGACTGCTTTGTGTGAACAGAAAATTCACACAGATACTTTGCACGTTCAACCTTGCTCAAACTGTATCAATCTCGTTAATCTTGCCTTGAAGTAGAGCAGATTAATCTTAGAGATATGCGCAATTTGAATGTGATATTTCTAATTCGACAGTATGCAAAAAGATGTGATGATTCTCTGGCACAATTTACATAGAACATGGAAATGCGTAAACCCGACTGCATGCGAAATGCATTGCCACTTCATAGACCTGTTGCAAAAGCAAGCTCGTATGCTAACCCTACGGTCATCTTTCCATGCTCAAGCATGTGAGAGAAGCTGACAGTGCTGATGGTATCCTGAGCGGTATGAATGTACCCACTGGTGTTCTCAAATGAACTCTCGATGACAAAGGCTGAAGGGTATCCAGCTTTTGATGCACTAGCGTGGTCGGAGCAAGCGTAGCCACACTTGGTCTCAACGTATGGAATGGTGCAGTACTGGACACCGTTAATGCCATGCTTCTCACGTATTTTGGTTTCAACGTACAGCAGTCACAACCTTCTTGATGAAAGATGTTAACCCAGCGTCGACGTAGTCTGTGATGACTCCTACAGCCTCCTTGGATCCAGGCTTTACGTAGCCAGTCATGTCTTGTTGAAGCATGGCCTTGACGACCTTGCCGCTGTTCTTGTAGTTGGTGAAGATTGCTTGGCTACCCAAAAGGCCGGCTTCCTCAGCTGCATACCAATGGAATTCGATCGTGTTGGCTGCTTGTCCGCTTGCAACTCGGGAATCGGTCAGCAAGACTCTAAAGGCCTCCAAGATGGTTACGGATCCAGAACCCTACATAATGTCAGCGTAAAATTGAGGTGCAACACAATATGGAGAGAGAATACGTACATCGTCGTCGGCACCGGGAGATCGTCCGTTCATAGGGCTCGCACCATTGACGCTGTCTTGATGCGCCCCGATGGCGATTATGTTCGCGCTCTTGCCTGGAATTGTGGCGATCACGCTGTCCTGGGTCCAGGAAGGATGACTGAAAGCACGAACAGTTACTCCAGACACCCCAGAGGCAGTAGCCACCGCTTGGACCTGCGAAAGGAGCCAGTCGGACGACTGCTTACCGGTGGAGCTCTTGTAGTATCTGTTGTTGAAGCCAACAAATGTTGTAAGCTTACTCTGCATGTTGGATGTACTGATTTTAGACAGGAGTGGCGTTACGTTAGTCTTCTGTGCCATTGCTGAAGGGAATACAACAGCTCGTTTTGTCAGTCCTTTGGAGGTCTCGTGGAGCTCAGCATAGTCTGTAATGTCCATGAAGTGCACTCCGGCCTAACTTGTCAACGATGTCTGTGCTTTGTTGATCGCTTTTTGCCTACATTGAAAAGTTCCCATTTCTCTGCTTCAGTGACCCGCTTGGTCTCTCCGGGCTCGATTTCAAGCGTGAAGAGGTGTTCGTTAGCTACTGCAGGAACGTCGATGCCCCTGTTTGAGATGGAAAGTGCAAGTGCCGTCGAGACGGACAGTGCAAGAGCGATTGCAGATTGAATTTTCATGTTGCAAGAGGTCTCTGGGGTCCTAACAGCTCACAAGCGATGCGCTACCACATAAGCTGCGACGTCCTGAGCCTTAAGTATACACCTTTTGCCATGGCCGCATCATTGTCCAACGATCATTGTGGCACGCTACAAGCAGTTGTCGCACTGATGGCGTGCCTGAGCGTGATTCGCTATGTCGCGAGCTGCCAGTCTCTCACAACCGGGCTTGTCTGCATTCGACAGGCGACAAGAGTATTGCAATAAGGCGAGACTTGGCTCTTGCCAATATGAGCTTGGTTATGTGATGCGGGTGATCTTCGAGAACCCCTTGTCGCGGAGACTTTACCCGACAGGGACTCTGGTATCTTCAACTGCCTACTTGGGACAGCGGACTGTTCAGCTCATCGTACGTTGCGCTCGATTGAAGTTCCCAAAAAGCTCGGTAGTCAATTGTTCCCCTGTAAGCGAGTCTACGAGCGTGACAGAATGATCGTCGAATATGTAGGGCAGATATGGAATGTGAAGCTTACGTAGCGAAATGCTACCATTGTAACCAAGACACGATTAGACCGGAAAAAGTGGTCAAAGGAGCTCAAAGCACAAGAGACATTGATGCGATTCGTTGCAGCATGGCGTCATCTATGTGTCTCGACCAGTATGCACAAGACGCCGCATGATGAACAAATCCTTTCATTCCTATCCCAAACGCCACGCTTAACAACAGATCAAGTCTAATCAGTTAAATCTTCTCCCAGCTAATCCTTCTTGCCATCTTTGTCCGCTGGTTCATCATCCTCTTTGCTCTCATCTCCCTTGCCTTGCTTTTTCTTCTTGCGCTCGTCCTTCAGTGCTTCGCGGACCTTTTCGTCCTTCTCGTCCTTGAGCTCGTCCCATTCTACATCGTACTCGTTGGCGATGGCCTTGATTTCCTTTCGGAGCGTATTACCATCGTCAATGAGGGCTTCCCATTTTCGAAGATCGAAATCTTTGGCCTGGTAGAGTTTTTGTTGGCGACGGGAAATGGTAAAGTTCATGGCGGATCGGTAGGAGACCTCACGGTTGTGATACAAAAACCACATGTAACCACCGATCAAAGTAGATAAACCGACAAGATACTGGGTGCTTGTTAGTCTACGAATTATTTAGCATGAGGAAAGAAGGACTTACTGTAACAGGCTCCATAACGTCCCACCCTAGCTCAGTCTGGAAGGTGAGGTAGTAGACGACACCCCACCAGCCGACGATTCCGGCGAAGCCTGCACCTGCAACGCGCTGAGCGGCCTTGTGCGCTAGCCTATCGCACTCCTTCTTGATGTCGGCCATTTCAGAAATCTTTTGTGATGTCTTGCGCAGACGCATGCGCAGATAGTATGTGCGGTCGTTGAAGCTGGGTACACCGACGCGGATCTCTTCTGGTGCTCCTTCGATCTCAATGGCAAATTCCTGTCCTCTGGCAGCATCGCGGATGAAGTCGCCGACCTCAGTAGAACTTGACCAGCGCACAAACTTGCGTTGCGCCTTCTTGTCGCTTGCCGCGTCCTGACCTAGGCCGGAATAAGATTCGACACCGCCTTGGCCGACGCCTTTGCGAAGCTCGGCAGCCTCTTCTGGTGTCTTCCTATTCTTGACATTGTTGCTCAGTTTACCGGTGCGCTCGGTCTTCCCATCAACGCGGATCTCGTCAACCTTCTCAAAGTCTTCGTGGCCCTCCTGGTCCGTGACTGCTTCACTGTCATTGCTGACAGTCGTCTCCTCCACCTCTGACGGATGCGCATCGCTCTGCATCGAATCCTCGGCGCGGAAGTAGACGTTGGGTATGCGTTCTTTGCCGTCTTTGTCTTTGATCATGGGCAGCTCAGCTTGTATCAGGCGCTCGAGGTAGGAGATGGGCTGTTGCGGATGGACTAGCAGGGCCAAGGGCTCGATGTCTTTGCGGTCGGAATTCACATCTTTCGTGACAAGGGGAAGGATAATCTTGAGCATACGTGAGGGTGTTGTGAGAAGCTTTCCTTGACCGTGTATTAGTCCCTGTCTGCGAGCTTTCAAGTTGACAAGACGCACCCTTGGTCATGGCTCCAGCGCTCCGCTGCCGCGCAACAGGCGGGACATCGCTTCCCTCCCGGTGCCATGGTGTCCGTATCTGCTTGCCCCTGTCCTCTTCGAGTCTGCGGGCAAAGTGGTCCTTCTCCTCCTGGGTGATGTTTTCGTTGAGTTCAGCGGCCGGTCTTGCGTTGGAGTTTTGGTAACTTGCAAACTTGGGGGCCTTGGCCCGGAGTGTCGCTGCTACTGAAAAACTTGGCGATTGCAGCGGCCGCGTAGCCGCTACGTTGTATTGTAAGAGTCGATAAATCCGCCTTTGGTGCTGAGGTTGTGCGTGGAAGCAGGCGCGTGGCAGTGAGGCGAGGCCGGCTATGCGATGCTTCATGACTGGCACAATTGCAGTCAGGCGTGATCGAAGTCGGATACTTCGGCTCTTTCTACAAGGTGCAAGCAGCGTCTTCGTCGAGCCGCAATTGTTGTGGGAATTGCACGCGACAATCAGGCTTCATCACCGCGCCCTACGTCATCGTGACCCTTGATCACTAGCGCGGCTCGCACGCGATTCACGATTTGCGAGGCGCGCGAGAGTCCTGATTCACGCGTCCAGCAAACTTGATGCAGCGCAGTACATACTCATGAGAGTTTTGGAATCCCGTATACCATCTGATGGATGAACCACGTGTAATCTTCACAGTTAGCAATCATGACTTCATGCCAGGTCATTTTCGTCTTCCAGATGAGCGTGGCTTGCTCCGTCAAACTTGCTTGCTTATTGTCTTCCAAGGCTCCCAAATCTGTCAAGTCATTTGCAGTGCCACAAGGTCAACAATCAGATCGATCCCAGTCACATCTCGCTTAGACTTTAACCTCTATGTGAGACGTCTGTAGCAGCAGAGACACGGATATGGATGTTCGAGAGAGAGTCATCGACATCTCTGGCTCATAGACGTTCAATGGCATCGCTTGGGATAGCATGCACGTTGTGATACAGCATGTTGATACAGACACAGTATCACGGGTCAACCAACGGCACTGGCAGGGCTTATTACGTGTGCCATCTCTTCCGAGCCATCCGCGCTTTACACGGTGCGTAGCGGCCTGCATCCAGCAACCTGGCTGAGGAGCAAGCCCCTGGGAAAATCGCATTCCTTGTGTTGCATGCATGGGGGGCGGATATCGACATGAAATGTTTGGGAGCAGGACCATGGCGGTGAGCGAAGGTGGAAACACACACAAGGCGTCTTGGGCCGAAGACATGGCATCTCAAATGGATGTACGGTGCATGGTGGCACTGCCTTACTGCAGGGTCGTACACAACGGGATTGCCGGGCCATGATATGTCGACGCGACTGAGTGTATTGAGATGTTGACATGCGCCTCTCGACGACTGCATGACTGCATACTGCTAACCAAGGCGTAATGTGATGGGTGCGCCAAGTCGCCGTGTTGTGTCTGAGCATGTCAGGTCACTTCTGGCAGATTGCGGTACATTGCGGTACTGTGGCGGACGACGGATGCTTTTGCAAGGCGCGGTTGACACATGACGCCGTATGCTGTGCGACGTCGATGATGCTGTGCGATGAGGTGGAAGGTGGCCGGGGTGGCTCGGCTGCTCGATGGGGAAGTGGCACAGACGCGATCTAAGATGAGCGAACCCCGGCTCCCGGTGGTCAGCCCATGGCCTGCTGTAGCCATTGTGGATGACTCTTGTTTCGACGTCTCGCCCTCGCCGTGTCGTCGCTTGGGACACACCCTCTAGCAGGAGAAGGAATCACGGACAGCAGCAGCAGGACGACGATGCCGGAGCAAGCATCCGCGTGGCGCCGTCAATCGAGTGCAAACGGCGCAAAGGCTCGCTCTGTACCCACAGGCCTAATGTTAGCCCCGTCCCGCCGTCTCAATCTGGCTGACCCGTCCGACTGCTGGTGGATCTTCAGATGTGACCAAATGGCATTTGCAATCGGACGGCCGTGAGGAAATGGGCATTGGCGAGCAACAGCCACGATAGATAGCATCCGCACTGTGCAGCTCGTGAGGGGCCATGTCGGATATCCATCCCTTGTGGAGGGCGGAGACGGCCGCCTCCCATCTCCAGGCCTCCTACGGAGCCAGGCGTGGCTGTCGGACTTGAAAGCACAGGTATGGCAAAAAGCAAGTGGGGTTGCCCAGCAAAGGACAGAGCTGCTGCAGCAGAGAACCCAAGCGGATGTGCGCCGCTCCACCGTGAATTGCTTCCCCAGCAGCGCCTGGGACGACCGCCTACACCCTCGCGCAGTACGCCCCTTGCCCATGGCGATGCACTCTCGCGTGGCTAACCGGCTAGCCAATCCTAGCCGGGCTTGACGCGACGATCATTCCAGGCGACGCCTGCCCAGGTGATCCCTGCCGTTGCCGCAAACCCTTATCTTGAACCTGGTGCGGGATGCCAGAGATACGTTCACGTCCAGGCCCTACCACGATTCACATGAATTTACTTTAAAGCGTGTGCCTGCCGAGTCTGTTTTGTTGTCGCCGACACCGCTTGCAGCCGCGCTGTTGTCTTTCAAGCATCTGCGTCCTTGCGACCATTCCTCCCGACCTCAACTAGGCACTCCACACACCTCTTGAAGGGACGACAAAATTTTTCATCGTCATGGCGGGCTGGATTCACAACGCCAATATGGCGGTAGCCCACTCCTTTGTGGGCAGATACTTTCGCCTTGAGGGTTCCGGTCATGTACGCAGCTTACTTTCCATTGTTTGATGTGCATCCCTTGGCTAACCGTTGTGCAGCCCAAGGAACGCAAGGGCAGCTTCTTCTTTACCGAGTTCCGTGCCGGCTTGGCCACCTTCTTTGCCATGGCTTACATCATCTCTGTCAACTGTACGCCATCACTTGCAACACCACCATGGGCGTGTTGGGCTGACCTCTTTTACTAGCGTCCATCGTCTCCGACAGCGGAGGTAACTGCGTGTGCCCGGCTTCAAGCAAGGACAACTGCATCACGGATAGTCCCCTGGAATACCTGCAATGCATCGAGGAAGTCAAGCGGGATCTGGTCACGGCCACTGCCGCTATCGCGGCTCTCACTTCTTTCTGCATGGGCTTGTTCGCCAATTTACCTATTGCCCTTGCCCCAGGAATGGGTCTTAACGCGTATTTTGCTTATACTGTGGTCGGTTTCCATGGTAGTGGCATGGTCCCGTATGAGGTCGCCCTTACAGCTGTTTTTGTCGAGGGCTTCGTTTTCGTCGGCTTGACTCTTCTTGGGATCCGACAATGGCTCGCAAGAGCTATCCCAGCCAGTATCAAGCTCGCCACAGGTGTTGGTATCGGACTCTACCTGACCATCATTGGTCTTGCCTATTCAGCCGGTATTGGATTGCTTGTCGGTGCCCAATCGACTCCTCTAGAACTTGCTGGATGTGCTCCTCAATACAAGGACCCTGAAACTGGTCTGTGCCCGGAATCTCAGAAGATGAGGAACCCGACCATGTGGATCGGAATCTTCTGTGGTGGTATTCTCACCGTTATGCTGATGATGTACCGCGTCAAGGGCGCAATCATCTTTGGTATTCTTCTCGTCTCCATCATCTCCTGGCCACGGCCGACGTCTGTCACATACTTCCCGCACGATGCACTCGGTGACTCCAAGTTTGACTTCTTCAAGAAGGTTGTCACTTTCCATCCAATCAGTCGAATCTTGGCTGTCCAGGAGTGGAACATTGCAGATCACGCTGGACGATGGGGACTTGCCTTCATCACCTTCTTATACGTTGACATTCTCGACTGTAAGTGTGCCAAATGTAGCCTGCTTGGCTCGAGCTGACGTTTTTAGGTACCGGTACCCTGTACTCAATGGCCCGCTTCAGTGGCGTCATCGATGAGCGCACTCAGGACTTTGAAAACTCGTCTATCGCTTACACGGTGGATGCATTGGGCATCTCCATCGGTTCCCTCATGGGCTCACCACCCGTCACTGCCTTTATCGAGTCTGGAGCCGGTATCTCTGAGGGTGGCAAGACTGGTCTCACCGCCATGTTCACTGGACTCTGCTTCTTCATTGCCGTATTCTTCGCACCCATCTTCGCTTCGATTCCACCATGGGCAACTGGCTGTACATTGATCATTGTCGGTTCGCTCATGGCTCAGTCAGCCAAGGACATCAACTGGCGATACATGGGTGACGCCATTCCCGCCTTCCTCACGATTGCGATTATGCCGTTCACCTACTCCATCGCATATGGTCTTATTGCCGGTATCTGCTCTTACATCCTCATCAACACGTCGGTATGGGTCATTGAGAAGGCCTCTGGTGGACGCATTGTACCGCACAACAAGGAAGAGAAAGAGAACTGGACATATCGCATTCCTGGCGGATTTCTCCCTCCTTGGTTGCAGCGGCTGAGCAGTGGCAAGAAGGATTTCTGGAGGGACAATGAGCAATCGGAAGGTGTTACGGTACAACAACAGGACGAGCACAGGAACGACGATGGCTCCGCGTCTAGTGGACATGAGAAAGAGTACGTTTCGGCGAGCAAACCCGGCCACCACGTTGCGTAGAAGCGGTCGCTGGATGCATTTCTTTGCGTGTTTACGGAGTTTTGCAAAAGTCGGGTGGAAGATTCGTATATGTCTTGTAAACTAGAGTGTGGTGGCTACTGCAGAGTTTTGGCGTCCGGATGGGGGTTCGTCGCAACAAATCATGGTGCGAAACGGCTGGAAATACCCTCGTTGAACAATACTATCATCTATTATCTCGGTGAACATGCAGACAATACCTATACCAATGCCTTGCCATGTGTGATGGACGTGGTCTATGTACAGCTGTCATGGATAGAGGGATGAAATCGATGCTTGGCAGCCGGAAGAAACGGCGGGCTGAAGGCCGATGCAGGGACCGAGGCTCTAGAACCCCACCACGACACATGATGGTCTGTTTTTGTGCCCTGCCGATTCGCGAGCGCGGTTCCGCAGTGTCAGATTGCGAGTAATTGTTCCTGGATCACGCCTTTCTTGGACATGCCGTGAGCAGAGAGGAATCTTCACAATCTCGCCATCTCACACGCAAACAAACCAGACTGACAGCGGAACTATCCGGCATCAGCTTACCAAAGCAACCGCGACTTTCTTAAGCAGTCAGTGACTTTGGCGATTCCGTCACAAGTGTACACCCCAAGACTTTCCACAGCTTCGTACGAACGGCAAATAGTAGAGAAGATTGTTAGGCCAGACATTGAGCGACCCAGAGCTGCCCAGCATGCCCGCCGAACTTAACGGCCTCCCCGCCGTGAACGGGCTTTCGAATCCAACACCCGCGCACCCAGCATTCGATTCAATACCGGATGTCATACAAGCCTTTGGTATGCTCCTCTGCAACTACAGGCAGTGTGCTTGTCACGTGCTAACACACATGTCCAGCAAACGACGAATTCGTCATCGTCCTCGACTCCCCCTCGCGCGAAAATGAAGGCGACCTGATCATTGCCGCGTCTGCCCTCACGCCGGCAAAGGCCTCATTCATGATCCGCTACAGCTCCGGCTACCTCTGTGCGCCTCTCCCCGTCTCGCGCGCCGCCGCACTGCACCTGCCTCAGATGGTCTCGGACAATGCGGATCCGAATCAGACTGCATACGCCGTCTCAGTCGACGCGGCAGACGAAAGTGTAACCACGGGTATCAGCGCGCACGACAGGAGCCTAACCTGCAGACTGCTCGCGGATCCCAACTCAAAGGCCACAAGCTTCCGGAGACCAGGCCACGTACTGCCACTGCAGGCGCGCGACGGCGGCGTCCGCGTGCGCAGAGGACACACAGAGGCCGCCGTGGATCTCTGCAGATTGGCCGGCAAGCAGCCAGTCGGCGTCATCTGCGAGCTCATCACGGATGGCGAGGTAGTCCAGGGCCGGCCCGAGTTTGAAGGAGGCGGCATGATGCGGCGAGACGAGTGTCTGAGCATTTGGCAAGGAGTGGGGCATCAAGGTCTGCACCATTGAGGATCTAGTCGCCTACATTGAGCAGAATGAGGACAAGCTGGCTGCTGTGTAGCACACCGAGGCTTACGTTTACGACACTGAGCCGGAAGAGCAGGCGAGACGTGGCTACCACTTTCCGCAGTAATGGAATCGGTGTCCTGTTGTCTATTTTCCACCCTATTCACACGTAAATTCCGCATGTACAACAACTATCTCACCTTAGGCCAGTCAGATATGCACAACCCGCGCAAGCTTGAATCGATGCATTGTCCACAGAGTTCGATGCCGATAAGACAAATAGTTACGTGACTTCATTCCAAACGCTATACCATCGGAGTACGCCGAGGCGCGAAACCAG